AAACCCTACTTATTAACGAAAAAAATATTATAGAAGAGGGTTGACCTCGTTGTCGCAATTTGGTCTTGTGTTCAGGGAGACTATTTAGAACACACCTAGTCCGAATTCGTCTGCCATAGTAGTTGTCTTTGATTCCCAGCATTGATACATTCTCAAACATCTACTATGGCAGACGACTTCGGACTAGGTGTGTTCTACATAGTCTCACTGAACACAAGACCAACGAGGTCAACCCACTTCTATAAATCGAAATGAGACTGCGACCATAACAGAGGCCAAAACATCTTGGTCTTCATATATTCGAAAAATATTCTCTTATAATTCTTGTATACCGAATCCAACATAAATACTTATATAAATGAAGTAAGCTATCAAATATTTTAGCTTGGAGCCGTATATATATATAAACAAACAAACTATCTGATGTAAAAATAGTAGATCAAGTGCAGATAAAGGATAGTTTAGGGTAAATTAAAAACATCTACCATCAGCTCTAGCTTATAAATCTGTCTCTTTTGCCTGCAGTTACAATTATCTCTTGCTTCACATTTCCCTAACAATCTTGTCCGAGAGCGCAACTTTAACTTTCAGCCTATTTGTATATGGTGGGGCAAATTGTCGACATTTTCAGGGGCTATTTCGAGAGTGTGTAGATGCGAAATAAAATAGTGCAAAATGTAGAGGAGCCACTACCTGAGCTGACAGAGACTTCGAATAGCCGAGAGCATACGGAGCAGGCAGGAGGCAATGAGTGCTCCATGAAGGCTGCAGAGGACTCGGGGCATGCCAGAGATTGCACAGATCTGATTGAGGTAGAGGCTGAGGGAGAAAGAGTGTTGGCTGTTGTAATGACTTCCTCCGCGAAACAATTCACTCTGCCCCTGGCAGGATCGCTGGTGCCATTTTGTATGACGGCATAAAGACTGGGAGGCAGAGAGCGACTGGCCAAATGCAGCGACTCAAGGTTAGAGGGGAGCATAGCTGTTGATCTCCGATTGCACCCCAGCGTCTGGAGAGGCAGTGAGGAACGAAGGAGAAAGGTAAATTGAGTACAATATTTGTCAAACGCTCATATTCCTATTCTAAGTTATTGGGCTTTGGCTGTGGGTTGAAAATAAATGATCCTGCCAGAGCATTCTTGGCCTATTTAATTTGATAGACGAATTCGATGGGATTAAACAAGCTGTAATGGGCAATGTGACTGTTTATTCTCATACATTGAAACAGATCTCCATCGGTGGTGGCTGCAGCGAAAATAATGCAACTTTGTAGGTTGGCAAA